CCACGGGTCTCTTATTAATAAACACAAATCGCCTGTTCATCCGTGGAAGCCTTTGTTTGAAAGCGACAATGCCGAGGTGATCACCACGACCAACGCAAATAACGCACGGGAAATCCTTGAGACTTGGCACTCCTGACTAGACGGTAGCAACCGTCGGATCGCCCGCTTTGTTCTTGTAGTGTTTTCTAAGCGGGGGGGGTGGCTTTTTGAGATGCCTATTGACTAAATTTAACGACTCTAGCAGTTGGCACCGACAACGCTTTCTTGGGTAGCCCTACTACCTGTGTTACTTATCGCTTCACAGGCAGCCACGAGGATTTTTGAAAGATTTTCAGGGCAGAACGAAGGGAGCATGTCCTTTCACACAGTTAGCCTAGAAGAGCACCACGCCATTCGGATGGATGTGAGGCTCTTCGGGTCAGTCTTACTGGCACTGTGTATACATGCGGGGAGTGTTTATGGGTCGAACTGCAATCGGAGAACGCGGACACCTCGAATGTGCCAAAACAGTAAACAAACACAACGAGACAATGCAACGGCGACCACCGAGATCTACACTCTTTCCCTACACGACGCTCTTCCGATTCAGCATCATCATCATCATCATCATCATCATCATCATCATCAACCTCAGTATTATCATAAATATAATCAACACCACCATCATCATCATCATCCTCACCATCATCATCCTCAGCATCATCATCATCATCATCATCATCATCATCATCATCATCATCATCATCATCGTCGTCGTCATCATCATCATCGCCACCACCATCAACACGGCCGTGGTAACAACGGTTCAGCTTTCAGTCCGAGCCAGTTGTGATCCTAGGCGGGGCCAATAGCCTACAGGCTATTGGTTGTTCGAATTTATCTTGTCCATTGAGGTTAGGGAATACTTTCGACGCTGAGCTTCTAACTGCTTGTCATGACTACTTATTACGAGGCAAGAGACCAATCGAATGCGTTAGTATGTTATTGCGCAAATAAGTTTACTTGAATTGTGCCTCGGGAAAAAGGAGATAAGATATGATTCAGTTGTCTGACAACTATGCGTTTTGCTTGGCTTGCAGGTAAAGAAATGGTTTGCCAACAAACGCGCGCG